TTATAGTTTAAGACTTTCCCCCCAACTTCTTTGGGCACACTAGGCTTATACAGGCATAAGTATCTGAGAAATCCCTTCTTGCCCTCCGTCTAGCTAGAAGATTTTTTTAGTGTCATTGGTATTGAGAAGATGGTGGAAGAGGGCTAGAGAAACACAAACTTATGGTATTGGTTGCAGAAGCACATCTGTAGTAAACAATGTAATAAAGCTTGAGCAAGAAAAGAGCAGGATTCTATTCTAGCTGATCCAACTGTAGCCATATCTGCTTCCTTACAATGGACAAGGTAAACAACAGCTGCCTTTGGAATCCCTTACAGAGCAAAATGAACAGCAAAACAGAGAGACAAGGGGAGAGCAGACAAGCGTCACCATCTCCCTCCAGCATATTAAAAAAGCATAGATGTGTAAGTCTGGCTATCAAAATGGAAATAAATCATTAGAAAAGTAGAAGCTGGTGAAAGGAGGGGGACATCAATTTGGATATATTTTGGAAGCAGCTTTGAAATGGCCTCTAGAAGATTCCAAATGCTTTTGTTTAGTCTTGCTTACTTGACCTTGTTGTTTTATTTTACATGTGCTTATCTTTAGTCCCGAATAAAAAGTCTACTGAAACACATTCAAGCTGCTCTTAATTTTTTTATGGTGTAGGAACTTACCTCTGTTCTTGCTATATTATTTCTACCTCTAGCACCAATGTTTCTGTAAAGGCGTAATGTCCAGGAACTCATATACTTTGTTAACTTAAGCATACCTGTATCATCCTGTTCAGCTAGATACTCGGTAGGCTATTTTCTGAATCTGGCTCAAACCATGCTTTCTCTCACAATGGTCCCAGGATGACAGCTGTGCAGAGATGGAATCTGAGACTGAGCCACTCCCAGAGATGTCCTCTTCCTTTGTCAGACCCTCCAGGAGTAACCAGAACCGTCGCACATATGACTTGGAAGGTAAGTATACTTGACATTACTTGGAGCCCACTCACAAACTGGAGGCCAAGTGGAAGTGAGCAGTGTGCTCCTTGTGAACTAAGTAAAACCACGTTAATTTTCATCTTGAAAGAAGGTGTGTTCATATATATTTTACATGCTAATTCCTGAAAAACGCATGTTGCTTAGAATTACTGGGTGTAGTCCAGCCATAGCAAACTGCTTTTGAGTCCCCTCACATTAAAGCTTGTGTGCTTCACCTTTTGATCACTAGACTAGAGTTGTGGTGATTATGTTTGTTTTATGGAGCAAACAGTAGTAGTATGACTTCCTCCAGACCAAAAGATTATCTATGACCTGACTAGTTTCCGTCGTATGTGCATGCTGTTGTATGGCCAAACACAGTTTGCCTGGATAAGCCAAATACATAATATTGAAGTGTCTGTTCATGTCACTAGACATTCCACAGGATTTGGTCAAACTTAAACTTTAGTTATGGGTGCATTCAGGAGTCTGAGCTGTCTCTGCTCAAATTATTCACAATCCATATTAACTTGATAAGAGAGGAATGCAGGCAATGGCCAGGTTGCTAAAACAGGGGTAGGCAACCTTTCCCCTTTAAGGGCCAAGGGACTTCAGCTCCCAGAAGCCTCAGCCATGTTGGTCAATAGTCCCATGTTGGCCAATAGCTCTTGGGATTCTGGGAGCTGAAGTCCCTCGGCCCTTAAAGGGGAAAGGTTGCCTACCCCTGGGTTAAAAGATAAAGGTTTCCCCTTGACATGAATGTCTAGTCATAACCAACTGTAGGGGGCTGTGCTCATCTCCGTTACTAAGCTGAAGAGCCAGTATTGTCCAAAGATGACTCTGTGGTCAAGCAGCCAGCATGACTGCATGGAACGCTGATACCTTCCCGAAGTAGTACCTGTTTATCTACTTGAATTTGCATGCTTTCAAACTGCTGGGCTGGCAGATGCTGGGGCTAGTGAAAGGAGCTCACTCCATCACATAGCACTTGGGCCTCGAACTGCCAACCTTCTAACCTTAACGATAATCAGAATTGGCATCTTAACCACTAAGCCACCATGTCCCAGATAAATACTCACAGATAAATAGTGGAGATAGACCAGTGATGCCTTAAAATCAAAGTAGGACAGTTCAAAGTATAATGGAATAAATGGTTCTTCAGAAGTACTGGTTCCTCCCATCCCATTCACATTAAAGTGTAAAGTTAAGATTTGAAGATATAATTCAGCATCCTAAGAAATTCACCTTCCCTTTTTACAAATTCTAATCCTCATGGTACAAAGAGAGTCTTCGGAATACACAAACAATGCTTTGTGAAGTGTCAGAAGCCAGGAGGGTGGCTGTACAAAACTTTTAGTGTGAGAATGTAAACATTTTTAACTCCTTGCTTACCTCTCCCATATTATAATTGTGTGTGGAGAGGGTTCATAAATGCTTTTCCTAGAGAAAGCAAGTTCTTTGCAGAAGGGAAGACTTTTATAATCTTCTAGCTTCATAGCCCCTCCATGTGCCTTATCCCTGTGCATCAGAGCTCTGTATTTGAAGGAGGACTTTAAGCTTGTGAAGGGTGAGCGAACAGATCTAGGATTATTTATTCATTTATTTATGTCGTCTCCTCCAAGAAGCTTAGAGTATTGTACAAAGTATTTCCCCCATTCTTATTCCATGATTATCTGCAAAAAAATACCAAGATACAAAGACTGGAGCAGACCACGATCAGTGATGGGACCATGAGCAGTGAAGCTCATGGCTGAGTGGGGATTTGAACCTGGATGGATTTCCACAGTCTTATCTGACTCTGGAATCAAGGAACTAGCAATGTAGTGTCTTTCAGATGTTTTGGACTACAATTCTTGTAAGCCCCATACAAAATGGACAGTGGCCAGGGATTGTGAAAGTTTTAAGTCCAAACTGCCTTTCCATGCCAACTTCCCCTGTTCTAATCACTATATTACAATGACTTTTTGAATGCAGGATGAAAGAAGGCACAGAAATAAGAATAGAAAAAGACAGACCAAAATAGGGCGGAGCAGAGTTGGAGGCAAAAATAACATAACAACAGAGCAACATAACATAATGGCTGGATACAGAAAAGTATAGAAAGCAAAAAACAAACACCCAGCATGAAGAGCAAACAGCTCCCACCTCACATACAACCTACCACAGCATGCCACCTGGCCTAACTGCCAATTACCATGCAGCATCACCAGCCATTTACCATACCTTTATTCAGTCACAATAATGTATTGCAATCCTGCATACCCTGACAGACTAATCTCCCATTTCATGCAGAAAAGAAACTAGTCAACTATGTAAAGAAGCAATACAAGATAAATGGGGCACAGCTATTTATTGTAAAAGTGTTATAACACATCCTATGCATATCTACTCAGAAGAAAGTCCATTGGGTTTACTGAGACCTACTTGCAGTTAAGTACCATATATGTAGACTTGCATCCTTAAATACAGGGGTAGGCAACCTTTGCCCTTTAAGGGCCGAGGGACTTCAGCTCCCAGAAGCCTCAGCCATGTTGGTCAATAGTCCCATGTTGGCCAATAGCTCTTGGGATTCTGGGAGCTGAAGTCCCTTGGCCCTTAAAGGGGAAAGGTTGCCTACCCCTGCTTAAATATATCTTAATAGTAGTTCTCTCTCTCCAGGGAACTCTGGGAATTGTAGTGTCTTAACCCTCTTGTACCCCATGATAATTAATTTAAACAGGTATAAAATTGGCAGACATTTTGATGGGCAGATAATCGAAATGTGCAGCTATAGAGAAACAGGAAAAAACAATGCTGAAGTTATTTGGAGAATAAAAGTGTAAAATAATTTCCAGATTAAGTTGCCAAATCAATAGTGAATTACTTTTTGTGCCCCCTCCCAGGGCTAGTGGAGCTGCTGAACCGTGTCCAGAGCACCAGAGTCAATGACCAGCGTGGACTGCTGTCGAAAGAGCATCTAGTACTGCCAGACTTTCTCCAGATGCCTGAACAACAGGGGGTGTCCTGCAAGAACCATTCTTCACCTAGCCCTGCTGCTGACAAGAAATGTGCACCTGAGGCCACAGATGCAGGTTCTGTTACCACCTCTCAGTCCCAGGAACAGCCACTACAATCCCAAGCTGCTGCTCCTCCACCAAAGCTGCAAACACGAAGTCTATCAACATCAAGTACTTGTGGGAAACCTTCAGCGATATGATCAACTTTGTGAACACCACCCATCCTGGCCTTCACCAAGGGTGGAACTTGGAAAAGATACTTTTTTGACTACAACTTCCAGAAAGGGGGATTCTGGGAATTGTAGTCAAATAAGTAACATTTCCAACTTTTGTCCAACAAGTCTGCCTAACAAATCCCATGTTCCTTGGCAAGAACTCCAGGCCCTTCCTATTCAGTATCGGTTGTGGTATCATGGTCTGCCTCATACAGATCCCTCTTGTGGTGTAGGAATATGGTTGAGGTCAATCCATCTCTAAGGACATCCCATCGCCTACCCAAGCCTGTCTTCCAGGAGTGGACATTTGTACTTCTGTTTTGGTGCACTCTCTCAACCTCCTTCAAACTGCCTTTGTTGGCTGGGCAGGGAACTGCCAGTGTTGTTCACTTGCTATACCACACTACTCTGTATGGTATTGCTCTGTGTTGTAAGATGACTGCCCTTGGCTGCTTCCAACAGACAACCATGTCTCTGTAGTGGTGGTGGTGATGATTATGATGCCTGTATATAGTTTGTAATTTTCAGTCTTTGTAATATGTAAGATACACTGCAGAATATGTCCAGACCCTCTGTGTATTTGTGGATATATGTTTCCAGGTGACTGGGGGGGGGGCATGTAAAAGGACATTTCTGTCTGCTCAGGCAATGATGTTCAAAAACTGGGGGAGGGACAAAAGAATGTGAATATCTACACAGGAGCTCCATCATCCAGGACCAGCCCATCACAAGGGAGAGTGGAGCAGTCACCTTAAGCAACAAATTTTGTGTGTAATGGAAGGACAGACAGTTGTTCTTGCTGTAGTGTTTTTAACTGCCAGGTAGAGGAAGGGATGAGAACCAGTGTGGCTGAGTGGTTTGAGCATTGGACTACGACTCTGGAGACCAGGGTTCAACTCCCCACTCAGTCATTAAACCCATTGGGTGACCTTGGGCAAGTCACATGCTCTCAACCTCAGGGGAAGGCAATGGCAAACCACCTCTGAACAAATCTTGCCAAGAAAACCCCATGATAGTTTGCATTAGGATTGCCCTAAGTCAGAAACAAATTGAAGGCACAGAACAACAACAACAATGGAGGAAATCCTGATAGGGTTTATTTTCATTTTTTGCCTCAGGAGCCAAAATAACAAGCATTGGGCACCTTGGGAGCAGTATTTGTTTGTTCTGACTCAGGTAGCAAAATGTCTTGTGTTAGCTCTGCCAGCTTCCTTCCACATCTCGTCCCTTGTCTATGGTGTGACACACTGGCTACCTTTGAGAGAGACTGAGGGGGGTTACATGGTAGATGGGGAATAGAGGTTCTTATTGCTTTATCTTTAGGGTAATTTATTTTCAGTAGTCCTGGATGGACATGTGTGTTCCTATGTACATTGGTAGGTAAGTGTTTCCCATATGTCAAGCTCTGTGAGGCTTGGAGGATTTATGCTAAGCAGAGCTTGTAAGTTCCTGACAGCTGGGTCTCCCCTCCTCTCCAAAAAATAGTGGACATATGTGTCCACGTTTATATCATTAAAACCACAGCCAGGATATTCTGTGCCATCTTATTTCCAGTGTCTGTCTATGCTTGTGAAAGCTGGACTTTGACAAAAGCTGACAGGAAGAGAATTCATTTGAAATGAGGTGCTGCAGGAGAGTTCTATAGATAACATAGACTGCTAAAATGACCAGTAGGTCAAGTCTGAACTCTCATTAGAAGCAAAGATTAATAAACTGAGGCAGTCATACTTTGGATGTAGCATGAGATGCTCTGAATATTGAAAAATACAATAATGCTTTGTATAGTGGAAGGCAGCAGGAAAAGAGGAAGACCATATTCCAGATGGATGGACTCAATCAACGAAGCCACAGCCCTGAGTCTGGAAGACCTAAGTAGGGCTGTTGATGTGAGGATGACTTGGAGGTCTCCCATTCACAGGGTCAACATAAGGACTTCATCACACAGGGAAAATTGGGGATTTAAACTGTCATTATCCCGGGAGAGTTGCAAAATCATGGTGAAGATTTTCACACAACGTGTGAAGAGGACTTATGGGAAATCCCATGAATGATTTGTTGCTGGTTATTCCCTGGTTATTCATGAGATAAGTCCTCTTTAATCATGATGTATGTGAAAATCTTCCTGCGATCATGCAACTTTCCTGGGATGACAGTTTAAACCCCCGATTTCCCCCCATGTGATAAAGTCCATAAGTCAAAACCTACTTGATGGCAATGAACAATGTGTCCAGTGAACCTTTCCCCCAACCAACCAACCAAATAAATAAATGAAACAGATGTATGCGTAGCCTCCTAGAGTGACCCCCTCACCAAGCAAACCCTATGAGACAGTCCCAAGCGAGACACAGGCAGGATCAGAACATAGACAGAGGGAGAGGAAGGAACAAAGGGAAATTACATTTGTCAAGATGTGCCAAGGGCATAGAAAAATTCAAAAGATGGCAAGACAAGTAATAGACACACTCAAAAATGCAAATGCTGTTAGAAGCAGCACCACACATATAATAGGAATATGGAATGTGAGGAGCATGACCCAAGGGAAACTAGACATAATAAAATGGAAATGGAATGCATGAACATAGCAGTACTATGGGTGAGTGAGTGAAAATGGACAGGAAAGGATCACTTTGACTCAGATAACTACAAAGTGTTCTACTAGGGAATGAAGTAGAAACAGGGTGGCCTTCATATTAAAGAGAGATGTGGAAAAAATAGTTAAAAGACAGAATGCAAAATCAGACTGATTCATTTCAGTAAGGCTCCAAGGAAAACCTAAGAATATCACCATAATCCAAGTATATGCACCAAGCACAGAGGCAGAGCAGGAAGAAACAGAGATTCTATGAAGGAGTCCAGGAAGAAATTGACAACACACCAACACAAGATGTCAAGCTGATAATAGGTGAGTGGAATGACAAAGTTGGAAGCAGAGAAGAATTTAAAACAGTAGGCAGATTCAGATTAGGCAAAAGAAACGAAGCAGGTGTCTGATAGATTTTTGTGAAGTCAACATCCTATTCATTGCAAACACTGTTTTCATACAATCAGAAAGAAGAGTATTCACATGGACATCACTAGATGGCCAGCATAACAATCAAATAGTTTATATAATCAGAAGTAAAAGATGGAGAAGCTCTAGTCTGGTGGCCAAGGCTAGATCAAGTGCTGACTGTGGTACAGACCACAAACTACTTATATCAAAAATAAGAG